GAGTATTGAAAAACTGTTGGATATTTCCTTAATGAAAAGGTACATGTTTTGCATTTTTTTATGTTTAAAACTAGCTTGTTTAATTTGCACCATTGATGTACTACATTCAGCTGATTCTGCAGCTCTAAACAATCATCAACATTTGATATATTGGAAAATAACTTTAAATCATCTGCAAACAATAGATGTTTACATGTTAAAGAAAATGATAAATCGTTTATGAATATATTAAACAACAACGGACCCAAGTTTGATCCTTGAGGTACGCCTGATGTAGGAACAAAACAATTGGACTTAAAGCCATTAAAACAAACATAAAGTTTACGGTTACTTAGGTAAGAGCGTATAAGTTCAACTAGGGGTTCACTCAGACCAATAGCCTTAAGTTTAACAAGCAAAATATCTCATTTTATCCGCGAACATCTGCTTTCATACGGTTTGCGGATTTGCGGATAAATGCAGATTTGCGGATAAATGCAGATGTTTGCGGATAAAATCAGATGTTTGCGATTAAAATCAGATATTTGCGGATAAAATCAAATGTTTGCGGATAAAAGCAGATGTTTGCGGATAAAATCAGATGTTTGTGTATAAAATCAGATGTTTGTGGATAAAAGCAGATGTTTGCCGATAAAAGCAGATGTTTGCGGATAAAAGCATATGTAAGCGGATAAAATCAGATGTTTGCGGATAAAAGCAGATGTTTGCAGATTAAAAGAGATGTTTGCGGATAAAAGCAGATGTTTGGAGATTAAAACAGATGTTTGCGGATAAAAGCAGATGTTTGCGGATAGAATCAGATGTTTGCGGATTAAAACAGATGTTTGCGGATTAAAGGAGGCGTTCGCGGATAAATGCAGATGTTTGCCGATAAAAGCAGAAGTTTGCGGATTAAAGCAGACGTTCACAGATAAAAGCAGATTTTTGCGGATATAAGCAGATGTTTGCAGGTGAAATCGGATGAAGCAGACTTTTGCGGACTAAAGTAGATGTTTGCGGATGAAATCAGATGTTTGTGGATTAAAATAGATGTTCGCGGATGAAAGTAGATCTTCACGTATAAAAGCAGATGTTTGCAGGTGAAATCGGATAAAGCAGACGTTTGCGGATTAAAGTAGATGTTTGCGGATAAAATCAGATAAAACCGGGTGAATGCAGATATAAACCCAAATACAGGTATTTGCGGATGAAACCAGATGAAAGCAGACATAGAACTAAATAGATAAAACCCGACGTTCGCGGATAATATTTATACCCGCATTTGCAGATAAAAACCGACATGCCGGGTAAAATCAGATATGTCGGATGAAAACAGATATAAATGGACATAAAACCAGCTTGGTTTTTTATCCACAATCATCCGATATTACCCGTCTTTTTCAGCAGGGTTGGGAATATTCCTAGAATGATCCTCTAAAACTTCCAAGCATCATCTAAGAACATTCCCAGTGAATATTCATTAGTTTAGTTGCAATACCTCTCACCGTTGCTTACGCACGCTTGATAACTATATATACCGATAGGTTAATAATATTAGTTGGAGATGTGCGTCTGTGATGGCACAGACAAACAATGATTAGAGTGTTACTCAATAATGGCTATACTTAAGTTCCTTGGTATAAAAGGCAATAAGGGATGGGAATAATCCCCAAATTATATCAAGGAATTTTCCCCTAACAATCCTTGAGTCTTCTGCAGGCAGATATATGGAATATTCTTTTTATGATGCCTGGGTTAACCAAAAAGCGGACATTTGATTATGCCAGGAATATTCCTGGGAATATTCTGGGACGCTTGGAATATTCCTGGGAATATTCCTGACATGTGCAGGGAATGTGATTTTGCGGTCTGGGAAAATGAATTTTGAATTGCACTACTTAATTTAAAATATTAAGTAGAAGGGCCCAGAGGCTGGAGGAGCACACTGAAAAACTAACTGCTTTGCAAACTTTAATTTAAATCCTGCTTGTGCAAAACTTATTTATTGTCATAAACTTATATGTTTCGTGCGAGTCCCTTGTCTAATAACTGAGATATCATTATATCCAAAATCCACCACCCACGGCAGTATACGTCTAGTCGTTTTTTGTCTATGGGATATTCTTACTCTTTTTTAACTATATAGTACTATAGCATAGACTATGACTATAGGAAATAGAAATTCGAAGAATTTTTATCGATATATCGATAGCAATTTTATCGATAATAATCGATAACTATTGATACATTTAACATCCCTAATCTTTGGACGTACGTACGTACGTACGTTGCTTCGAACAATTGCTTTAAAGCTTCCCATGCCTCATAAGCTGTCTCCTTGTCCATAATCTTTTGATAAACTGAATCAGTAACTGAACATGCATGTAATCATTGACTTGACATAACTATTTGCCTTGCGATATAAATCACATTTCTCTTTATGATTTTTAATTTCTACTTCTGTGACATCTTATTTTAATGCTGGTGGTTTTACCAACTTGTTATGAATAGTGTCTAGAGCCCCTTCATGATAATCTAGTAGATCTTGGATTTTCCTTTTCCAAATAGGCCAGTCCATAGACAAGGGATTGGTTGGGTGGGCGGGGGGTTAGTCTCTCCACTTAATGGTTTATGTTCTGTGGGTTTAATGCAAGATACATACACCTGGGTTTAATGTGCTTCGCTAAATCCATTCTGATAAATTAAGCGATACTTCACAATAAAGTCAAATAATTCTTTTACACATTTAAACTAGCGCCTGCGCCCATAACCTGATAAATTATATAAATTATATTTATAACTGAAAATGTGCATCATTTATTTGACAAATTTATTTGACACTACTTTATATTGATCATTTCTAATTATAACAACATTCATTTTGTTATAATACATAGTTAACTTTAAATATAAACACATATTAACTTTAACAAGAACAAAGGGTATTACTATCGGTATTTACCTATATAAATCAGGGCTGTATCGGGATTTATAGGAATTCTACATCTTTATTTAGTATTTCCATATGGGGTATTCCATACCAAATCGACCACTTTTGAACCCGACCCCTTTAGATTTTGCTGAAACTTTTCCATCCTTTTCTACCCTTTGAAAAACATTTTTGAAAATTTTTTCAAATTTTTTTGTCCAACCTCAAAAAAGTTATGAATTTTTAAAAAAAATGGCTTTTTTATTTTCAAATAGCCATAACTTTTTTAGAAATTGACTTTTGGGTACCTTTTTTTTTAATTTTTGTTTTTGAATGAACTTTTCAAGAAAATACACGAAAAAATACACGAAAAAAATTTAACATGATCAATTATATAAAATAATCGTTTTTTTTTAGTAAAATCGTCATTTTTTCGAAGTTCGCCATTTTTTCTTTTTGTTTTTTTTTTCTCAAAAAAAACTTCAATTAATTTGACAACTATCCTCGCTAATCCCGGAGTGGGCCGATTTTTTTTTAATTTTTTTTTATTTATTTAAAAAAAAAATGTCGAATTTTCTTTGACAATTTTTTTTTAAATAAATAAAAAAATACAAAAAAAAATCGGCCCACTCCGGGATTAGCGGGGATAGTTGTCAAATTAATTGAAGTTTTTTTTGAGAAAAAAAAAACAAAAAGAAAAAATGGCGAACTTCGAAAAAATGACGATTTTACTAAAAAAAACCGATTATTTTATATAATTGATCATGTTAAATTTTTTTCGTGTATTTTTTCGTGTATTTTTTTGAAAAGTTCATTCAAAAACAAAAATTTAAAAAAAAGGTACCCAAAAGTCAATTTCTAAAAAAGTTATGGCTATTTGAAAATAAAAAAGCCATTTTTTTAAAAAATTCATAACTTTTTTGAGGTTGGACAAAAAAATTTGAAAAAATTTTCAAAAATGTTTTTCAAAGGGTAGAAAAGGATGGAAAAGTTTCAGCAAAATCTAAAGGGGTCGGGTTCAAAAGTGGTCGATTTGGTATGGAATACCCCATATATAAGTCTATAGGGCTGTACAGGAATTTTAAGGTCATGTTATATTTATCCGAAAATCACAATAAAAAGTTCAATAGGGCTCTATCAGCATGTATGGGTCAGGAGGCATTTCCCTATAGAACCATATTGGTAGCGTATAGATAAATCCCTATAAATTTTCTATTGGGCCGTATCCGGAAAAACATGGACATTTGTATGACAAATGCACATATTCAATCTGGTAGCGCCCGATAGATTACACTGGGGAACACTAATTTTGTTGTCTGAGATCTGACACTTGTTTTTGACTAAAACTTGGCTCCTGAATCCAAAAATGACCTCAGTTTTTTTCTATCACGTCAAATTTTTAAGCTACGGAATACCCTTTCTTTGTTTCAAAAGACTTATAAAATGTGCAATTAAAGGAGAATAAAAAATTAACAAAAATACTATTGTTTATAAACAACAATTATACTTGTTTATAAATAATAATTGTTTATAAACAATAATTTTTTAAACCTTCTTTGATTTACGCTCGATCCAGCGAAGAGTCCCAGCGGTGGTCACATTAATATAAGCTGTAGAAAAAAAATTTGACGTGATAGAAAAAAAGTAATAACAGTTTTGAAATCAGCATGCCCTTTTTACTTAAAAACAGCTGAAAATTCAAAAACAACAGAAATTGTGTTAAAAATTGTTCCCCAGTGTTATTTTTTATACGTCTCCTTAGGGTATTTTAAGCAGGATACTTGAGCTCTGCAACTATAAATCCCCAACATTTCCTACAAAAACGTATTAGAGGGACTCATCTAATTATGTGTATTCTATAACTTTGAAGTTTCAGACTTCAAAGTTGGAAAGACTCCACTGTACATGGCAGCTGCTCCACGAGCAATAAAGTCATATTACAGAAAAAATATTGCCCTTCTTTATCTTACAAGACTATGTGGGCAATTTTTTATCTAAAAATTACTGTGGCTAGGCTTCAGGCGGCATAGAAAGGGTTGGCAGGCTGCCGTTTGAGTATGGCTGGGTTAAATGATCTAAAATTAATTAATAATTTAACATGTAGGTATAAAATTCTATTTATCTAGGTAGGTATTTATTAATAATTATTTATGACAAATATAACATTTACATGTTAAATTTGTCATATGAAAACATACAAATAAACTAGATTAATTTAGACAAAATTGAAACTAGTCCTGCTATATCTGCAGCAATTCTATTCAAATTAATTATTGTAAATTGGTGTGTCAAAGATATGAAAATAATCACAAGTTACAAATAAATTAATTTAACAATCTAAGAAATTAGCAGCCATCAGCAACTCTAAAGCAATTTCAGGTGCAATAGGAAATTCTGGTATTTCGGTGGAACTATTTGTGTAACGCACTTTATAAGTAAAGTACATGCACACTTTTTGCAGCACATGGGAACTAAAAGTAAAAATGTAAATATAGTTTAAAACTGCAAAATATAGATGTTTTACGGTATCTCTCTGAAATTGACTTCATTGGCCTCATTTTCAGCAAATTGACCTGGACCACTTAACATGGCTTTAATAGTTCCTGAGGTAAGGGCATGTTCTCTTTTAACAATAAATTCGTGACCATCTGAAGATATTAACTTTACATACATTGCATCTGGACCCTCACATCCACCATATACCCTTTCAGTTGCTTTTTCTTCAGCTATATCACCCATCTTGTCTAATACAAAGGAAATTATATTTATTTATTATTTATTTATACTAGAAAACGGTTAAATATCTACTTATGGTATTTATAACTTACTCTTTTTAATTTCAAAAGTATACGCCAATATTTAGAAAACACTTGCGTTTTTGGTAGTGATTTTGGTTTTTTTTGTTGGTATTAATATTTGTTTTAAATTATTTAAATTGACCATATGCAAGGAATGCGGTCGCTGTTGCCAATGGTAAAAAAATAAAATTCCCTATTGGGAACATTCAATTATATTACGTTGGCTACACTGAAATTTTAAATTTCCCGCACAAACTGACATACATTCCAGTAAAGAAAAAGATAAAGAAGGTAGTTCCAATGTTGTATAATAAGTTAAGGTGCGAATTTCAAATGTGGGAATTATTATTATTTATTATTATTAAAAAATAAAGATAGAAATTAATTTAGTTTGTGCGGGAAATTCAAATTTTCAATGTAGCCAACGTAATATAATTGAATGTTCCCAATAGGGACTTTTATTTTTTTACCATTGGCAACATCGACCGCATTCCTTGCATATGGTCAATTGGGATTGCAAATATAGAATTTTTTGTATAAAATTGTATATTTTTAACGTAATTATCTTAAAATTGTATATGCATATATATGAAATCTAAAGGTTTGTTCTGTAATAATAAATTAACCATCTGGGATCGCAGACAACCACACTGTGGTTTGGCAACACTGCGGATGAAACTGGCTGCATTCAACTGTGGTTACCACAGTTGAATGCAGCCAGTTTCATCCGCAGTGTTGCCAAATCATGCTTGCCCATAAATATTTCGAGCGTTTATCGTGCCTAAAGCCTGATTTATAGATAGCCTTCCTTCCTCCCGTAAAACATAAACAATACGAAAACCGTAGTGCTGATTATCATAGATGACCGAAGGTATAGATAGCCGACTCTCGTTAGAAAATCGAAACAAAGTTAATTTAACCCTTATGTGCACGGAAAGGTACAGGTGTACCTTTTTAATTTTTGTTATGCAGTAACTTATTTAATTTAATTTAAAAATGGTACATGTCTTATGACATCTTAAAATAAGGAAAGATAATGCCTTTTATGTAAAAATTATAACATTTACCTTACGTAGAAATTTTTTATTTTAATCCCAAACTTATTATCCCATTCAAGCACGGATAGGTACATTCGTACCTATATGTGTTTAAGTTGAAAATTAATAGGGGGGGGGGGGAAATAAAAACAACAATAAATTCACAAATATATATAAAATTTGCATTTTTGAACCGATGGATATTTTAATAGAACCAAATGCCTCCCATGAAACGACTAAATTTACCATAGTGTAGGTGGTCAGTGTTGCCAATTTAGCGGTTTGGCCGCTAAATCTAGCGGTTTGACCAACTTTTTCGTTTTAGCGGCTGACGGGAATTCTAACTATAAAACATTTTATCTAGTGTAAAATCTAGTGGTTTCACTAATTTTACTTTTTATTATGCTTTTTAATACCTATTGTATTCAAAGACGAAACAAAGCGATATCGTGATGTAACAAACTTACATGAAAATTGATAGAACTGGTTATATTTTTCTTCTGTTGGTAGTTCTGCTTTTTTGCAGCGTTGCCGGCTTGTATGCAATAGTAGGTTCTTTTTCTACGGTAGGTCACTACGATTGAATAAAAAGGTCCCTACCCGTCTTTGGGGGACGCTCTTTAACAATTTGACAATGACAGAGACAAACATTAAAGCAGAGACAACCTCAATGATTTATTTGGCGGTTTTATAGCGGTTTTTGCTCATCAAATTTGGCGGTTTAGTGAGTGCATTTTGGTGGGGTAGCTTTTCGTAGAATTGGCAACACTGTAGGTGGTAGTCTAATATATTAGATAATTATTAGATAATTATCTTGGACTTGTCCAAAAAATGACAACAAAATGTTAGCGCAAAAATGTTACCAAACTGTTTTGTTGAAAATGATATCTTATTGATAACAAATGTCTATATAAAAAAAACTGACAAATAAATGTTGTCCATTAGACAGTATGCCAAATGGATATATCCTTTATGTTATCAATAAACCATCTTTCCAACATATATATTTAGTTATCTATTAGAGGTTATCCTTATGATGACATTTTTAAGATGACTCGCAGACAGTGTTGCCAGAACTTATTTTCAAATAGTACTAGTTTTCAGTTAAAAAAGTACCAGATTTAAAAAAAAAAGTACCATATTTTCAGAACTCAAAAATAAAGTTTTAGGTAAGGAGGGGTGAAATTTTTTTTTTATTCATTTAGTTTAATAGTAAAATATAGTTATTGCATTTAATACTACTTTACTTTCATATTAAAAATAGTATAATTACCTCTCCATAATAAATATCCCCCTATTAATATTATATAATAATTATATACACTTAATACCTAATTATATACACTTTTTTTAAAATACAGAAAGTTTCTGTCAGAATTTTTAATGACAAGTGACAGTCATGCGCAACAACTCTCTTTAGTTGGTTGGTTTAGTAGGTTTCGCCACAAGGTGGGTGTCGCCATCTATTATCATTCCGCCCAATGTTTCTAAATGTGTATCTGTTTGAAATTTATAATAATTTTAATTAAGTAGGGTAAAAAATTGTTATTTTATTTTTAGGCCCATATAACAAAAAGTACTAGATTTTGATTCAAGGGTACTAGGGTATAGAATGTTTTAAAAAAGTACTAGATCTAGTACAATTGTACTAGACTGGCAACACTGCTCGCAGATATATACTATCTCATAACATTACGATATCATTCGGATGAATCGATAAGGCGACATTTTTTTGCCATCAAAACGCTATCTTTCCGATTCGTGTTCTACCTGGGTTTACATGTGCATAAAAATTATCAAATTATTAATTAAAATTGACTGAAAAAATTGTCATTTAACCATAAATAATTAAATTATCAACGACTAATGTCACTTTCATTGTCAAAGTCTTTGATTTACAGTAAATCATTTACTAGCTTTTTTTTGCTTATCAAAAGTAATATGGATTATTCTTTAAAAAAAATTAAAAATTATCCCAGTTATCGCTCTTAATTAAGAGCGATAGAAGTGGTAGTGTGCACACAAAATTTTTAAAAGTATCCATGGTTTTAAGTGTTCCAGAAAAGGAATCCGTTGTTAATTTTACTCTAAAAAATCCCCAATAGTACTTTTCAAATTTTCGACCCCAAAAAGAGATCACGGTTGGCCATGAGTTTAAAACATGTACATGTCACTTGACATATGCGTTTAAAGCATTTTTCAGCGGGCCATCCCGCTTACACCAATCACAGCGAAGTAATAAAGCTTACGCTGAGGTTAACTCTCTTACCGCCAAGCGTTAACGCTAATTAACTAATAAATTATTTTTATTTTTTAGATTGATTATGCATAATGGGGCTTTTATAGGTGGTGACACCTTAAAAGAACACATTCATAAACTGGGTAAGGTAATCATCCCCTTTACAATCCTGGTCTTGTTAGGGCTATTTTTGGTATGTTAAATAATGTTTTATACCAACTAAACATATGTTTATTGCTAAACATATATTTATTGCAGGAGCTGAGGGTACCAATAAAAACTTTGATCCACCAACGCGTGTTGAACTTCAAAGAGAGGTAACGGCGAGTGGCAAAACAGCGTCAACGTATTACCGCTAAAGCCTGATTTATAGATTACCTTCCTTCCTTCCTCCCATAAAAGATGAACAATACAAAAATTGTAGTTCCATTTATAGATTTCCGTACGGAAACCTTTAAACAGCACAACGGTTTTTGTATTGTTCATCTTCTACGGGAGGAAGGAAGGAAGGAAGGAAGGAAGGCAATCTATAAATCAGGCTTAAGCGTCGAGATCCAAACGTAAACAATGAAGATTCCATAAGGCTGCGCCTGTTTGAAGCCGATAATTTATATAATAATAATTAAGGTTATACTGTTGTGTATATAAATATTTATAATATTTTATTTCTTTGTAAATATAGGTATTTTTGTAATAAAACGACGCGTCGTTTAAAAAAATTCGAGTATGAAAATTTACCCTCTTGTTAAAATAACAATAACAATAAATGAGACATTACTGACCCACTGGGAAAAATAATATTGTTACTGAACGTTACATTTGTTAGATGTAATGTTACAAAAATCCTTGTGGCAATGTTGCAGGAACATTGCAACAAAGCCTTATGTCCGGCTCAGTAATATTACATTTACAAATAAAATGTTGCTTAAATGTATTAATAGCTGGCCATACACAGACGTTATTTCGCGCGGTTTATCGTGGCGTGTTGGGATGTAGCGGTTTGCATGCACGAAAGAACGGCATGGCAAAAAAAGCGTCATGTTCCATACACTTGATAAAGTATTCAAATGATTTAGCAAGTGATTGCGCGTAGTGTATCAGTTTCAAAGGAAAAATCGTATGTGAGTGGCCAAAAAGTGTCACGTGACGCGGAATGCGGCGTGTGGCGTGTGTACACTGCTGAAATGATGTACGCCACAATCCACAGGAAAGCACGTCTGAAATACCTTCCCGTTCTATCATTGCGCGCGGCGATACTCACTCACGTACATGATTTTCCATATGTTTTTGCAGATAACACGATAAACCGCGCGCAATAACGTCTGTGTATGGCCAGCTAATTGCAATGTTACTAAATGTTATTTTTGTTAATGTAAGGTTCCTGAAACATTACATTTGTTAGGTGTAATGTTACAAAAATCCTTGTGGAAATGTTGCAGGAACATTGCAACAAAGCCTTATGGTTCAGGAACATTACATTTACAAATAAAATGTTGCTTAAATGTATTAATTGCAATGTTACTAAATGTTATTTTTGTTAATGAAAGGTTCCTGCAACATTACAGGAACATTGCAATTAAATTAATATGAATTATTATAATAATAATTAATTATAATTATTTATCCGTAACGCACCATACCCACCAACACTGACAGAGAGACTGTTTCGACCTGTTTGATCTCATCAGTGTCAGGCAGTCGGTGACGGGAGACACATAACAAGCTCGGACTGTTCACTTATAAAGATATAAATGACCAAGACAGCGGCGAGATGCATCGGCAAGTCAGTCTGCAAACAACATTGCAAAAATTATAATTATAATA